ATGGGGGGTGGAGAACAGCGTTGGGGAATCGGGGAAGGGGAACAGACAAGTTGCTGTCCTTTTTGTTCTTCAGTCTAGTTGTGGAAGACCTCGTTTCACTGGCCCATGTTGGTATTATCTTTGCATTCTTCCCAGGTGAGGCAGTCGCTCGCTGGCCATTGGACGGCTGCTCATGGCTGCTCACAACAGCTCACGTCAGCTGCCGGCCAGCCCACTGCAGCCTACATCAATGACTCATGACAACCCAGCTCCAGGTCAAGCTGTTGTTCACCATCTTAGCTGTAGAGGGCACAGCATCACCGGCCGACATGTGTGATCTGAACCGGGGCCCTGCTGCTCAATGCTGACATCCCAAGCCAACTCTTAACCAACGTGCCACTCAGCCAGCCACAGAGCTTGTACTCTTGAGCAAGCTCTTAACCAACTGAGCCACTCGCCTGGCCCAAAATCTGTATAATTTTTGAATCCCCAAAAACTTAGCTACTAACAGCCTACTGGTGACCGGAAGCCTTACTGACAATATAAACAGTCGATTAACACATATTTTGTATGTTATATGTATTGTATTCTGTATTCTTACAATAAAGTAGAGAAAAGAAATGTTATTTTAAAAATCATAAGGAACAAAAAATACATTTACAGTACTGTACTATACATATTTATCATATTTATTGATACCGTAGGTTTACATCATCTGTTTACAAGATGAAAAAAAATCCACAGATAGTGGACTGTGCAGCTTGAACCCATGTTGTTCAAGGGCGACCTGTATTAACTTAATTCTCATAATAAACCTAGCAGAGGAACTATTAGCATCATCCCAACTACACAAAGGAAGAAATGCAACATAGAGAGGTTAATCAACTTTCCCAGAAAGACCAATATATTTCAGACATTTTTGCTTCTAAGAAATATATTTTAGGGCCGGCCGAGTGGTGCGTTGGTTAGGAGTTGGCTTGGGACGCCAGCTCTGAGCAGCAGGGCCCTGGTTCGGATCCCACATGAGGGCCAGTGATGCTGCACCCTCTATAGCTGAGATGGTGAACAGTTTGACCTGGAGCTGGGCTGCCGTGAGCC